AGGAAGCACCCAGGAGGCCGGCGTTTCCCAATCGTCCTGCAAGATGCCGAAGGACGGCCAGTGCCAGCGCAACTGGCAAATGGTCTGCCGCATACGCTCAGCGGGTCCCCTACCGCGGAGAATCTGCGCGTTGGCGCGTGGGTCTTCCACGGTGCAGTCGAGACTGCTGTCTCGCTCTACCTGGCGGCGCAGGCTGAGGATGACCTCGCGCTGAGCAAGGACCTGCAGTCCGGTTGCGCGGCTTGGCGCGCAGACTGCAAGGAGCGCCAGGAAGGACATCCCGCGTCGTCCCTCGGGCCGAATGGCATCGCGCAGGGCGGCGGTGTAGGCGGCCTTGCATCGCTGCCTAGTGTTAGGTCGGGCATGTCCTCCTACAGGAGGATCTTGGAGGAAAACAAAACAAAAAGCACAGGCCAAACAAACAAAACAAACAAAAACAGTCCAAAAAGATTCAAAAGTACCCAGAGTCGCAAAATGGTCCCCAGACTATTTTTTGATAACTTTTGAATATTCCTCCTTTAGAGGGACATGCCCGACTCAACGCTACTGCTGCTGATGTGTCTCGCCCCGCCCCTGAAAGACTAAATCATATTATGCAACCGAAGAAACAATGCAACCGAAAACCAAGAGAAAACAAAAAACAGACAAAAGGACCTGTCGCGGCGCACAACGGCATGGCGAAGCAGCCAAAAAATATGAAAAAAAATTGAAAAAGGGAACAAGAGAGTAAAAAAAAGGTCAGAAAGAAAAAGACAAAAAAGATAAAGAGAAAGAAAACTCTGGAAAGAAAGAAATGAAAAAGAAAGAAACTAAGGATGACGGAAGAAAACACGAAGCCTCGCTCCACCGGGGAACACTCCGTGATGAAATACCATGGGCACGACAGCTGCGATAGCTGGTATCATCGGCGGCTCCGGCCGAAAAATGGGCATGCCCGACTTTCAGGGGGACGTAAAGACCCTTGGGTACAGTGACTCGGAAATCCCCGACGAGGTCGTCAAAAAAATGACGAGGCCGAGCCTGCATTTTGACGAGGCCTCCCGCTGCAGACATCCCACGAAACTCCTCCTCGTCGAAATCCGAGCCGCGGTCGTCAAAAAACGATGGCGAACCCGAGTCCTGGCAAACCCGGGTCTTACGCTCCCCCGAGACTTCAGACTGGTGGTCTGGATGCCAGCGCCAGGCGGTGCGCATGCTGGCTGGCGGCCTCAGCGCGCCCGCCCACCCCCGCTGAGGGGCCTGCCGCTGCGGCGCGGGCGCTCCATGGCCCAAAACACGCGGGGCCGGGCGCCGGTGCTGTACGGGAGGCTCGTGTCGTGACGGCCCTGGCGCTGGCTTCTGACACCGCGTGGATCCTTCAACCTTGAAGGATCTGCCGCTTTTCGATCGCCCGATCGTTCCTAGACGAGCGCGTTCCACTACTCGCAAAGTAGCTGCTCGCAGATGGCCTGGATCCCCTACGATAAATTACATCAAAGCGGGCGACGTGTTGTGCTTTTCGGACGTTTGCGAATGGGCACTTTGCGAGTAGCGGAACGCGCTCGGTGAGTTCCATATGGGTCGATTCTGGGCCTCTGGCGGCGTTCAACCTTGGACGCCCGCGGCGGGGTCGCCGCCGGTCGACACGACAGGGAGCTACCCTGGCTACCGACCTGATTGATCTCGGGGTGGATATCAAGCGGAGAGGCGCGGGGAATCGAGGCTTCGACGCGACGGGGAGGGCCAGGCCAAGGGGCTCAGCCTAATCTTCCAGGCGCGCCGGAAAGGGCCAGGCCAAGGGCCCCGCCTGACCTTCCAGGCGTGGATGCGTTGGCCACTGAAGCTGTCGAAACCGATGGCCTTGTGTAAGGACGGGCCGAGCTCCTCAGCCGCGGAAGCAATGGAGTTGCCGTAATCGACGAAGGGGGTGCTCAGCGAGCGCAGGGCACGTCAGTGATGGCGTCGCGAACAGGCGCACGCCAGGGGCCCAACGTCGTCCACGGATAACTAACTGCCCTGGAGGTGACCGTCGGTGCGGGCAAGAGGTGGCGAGCAAGCCCCTGCCATGCGGATGCAACGCGAGCGCGTCGCTCAGCAATCACGTCGCACCGCCGCGACGTCGGCAGGGCGCCCAGCGTGCAGAGTCAGGTCGAGGCAGACGTCAGCGACGAGGTAGTCGTTAAGGACAGCGCCCACCAGGGATCCCCACCCAGGTAGCGGGCATGCTCAGCCTGCATCGCCAGCGGCGCACTGACGTCCCCGATAGTGGCCATCGGGATGGCCTCAAGACTCGAGGGGCGAGTGCAGCGGGCTCGCGAGTCAGCCAGACCCTGGCAAGCCGGGCCTTCACTGGCGTACCTCCAAGCAGAAATGACGGACAAATAGCGGTGGTCCGTGGATAACTCTCCCCGCCTTTGCGCAGACACGGGTTCGGCGCCTGGAGTCACGGATCTGGAACGCGTCTGGCACGTGGCATGCAGCGCAGAGTCCTGGCACAAAGAGGCACAGCACCCCGTCCAGGAGAGCTGCGGCCTCCCGCTTGGCCCAGCCGCCGAGGCCACCCGCGCGTCCAGCCGACCGTTTGCGGATGCCTCGGATGAGACTTCGTCGGCGAAGACGAAGGGGGGCCGCAGGGGCAGGAGCTGGCAGCTCTTGGGCGCATTTACGGCGAAAGGCAGCCCGCTTTGGCACCGCCTGGTCAGCGCGACTGCCGGTCGGTCGGTGGCGCGCGAGAGTGAGCTCCCACGTGTCCACCCTGAGCTACAGCATGGCCTCGGGGTCCGCCAGTATGGCTTCGGGGCTCCGTTGGGCACGGTCTGGGCGGTGGACCCGCCGTCTTCGTCGCCCTGTCGGGCCCAGGCAGCGCAATCGCCTGGAGGCGCTGAGGGGGGCCCATCGCGGGGCGCACGGTGGTAGCAGGTGGCCGAGGTGTCTGCAAGAAAGAGAAAGGGCCCGTAGGGCAGACTGGTCTGCCCTAGCTATACGCCAGGCCGCGTTCGCCGCTCAGTTGTGCCCTCAGTTGTCGCTCCAGCGTTTTCGCTGGTCCCCAACGTGTCGCTGAGCATGTGCAAAGTGCCAGGGATGCCAGTCCAAGAGCCTCCTGCTCCAGCGCCCGACCGTAGTCGCCTGCACATTTTCCCGGGAATGCTGTTTCCCGAGGTGTCTGCGACGAGGACCCATTGGGCCTGCTTGCGGCCACCGTCCTCGTCCGTCCTCATGTTCTGCGTCCAGGCCGCCATGCGCTCGCGCTTCGTCTGACACGCCCGACACTCGGGCCCCGCCTCAACGGAGCGCATGAGCAGGTCGAGCTGGACGACGGCGGGGGCTTCGTTCGCGCCCCACCAAGTAGGGTGCTCAGCCTAGGCCGTGTGGCGCAGGCGTGGTGCCAGAACTTGGGCCGCGGCCCACGTGTGTTTGAATTTGGCGGCGAGCGAAGGGCGAAGTGAGAAGGAGAAGGCCTTATCAGAAGGCTCGGAAGTCCTCTGGCCTTCTGTGAAGTTTTCAGAGCCTTCCCCGAAGACACAGAAAACCTCTCAGAAGGCGCGATGGCTTCTGAGAAGTCCCGCCGCCTTCTGAGAAGGCCTTCTCCTTCTCACTTCCCCCCTTGCTCGCCGCGGATAAATAGTATGCGCCCTGCGAGGCAAGCAGCGGTTGGGCATATTGGCCAGGACCTGGCCACATGCGCTCAGTGAGGCATAGGAGTTGGCGGCCTCGTTGCTCGGAATGAAGAGGGCATCGGCGTCCTCGTTGGTGTCTGCTGCGCCCATGCGATCCTGAAAAAAGTGACGGACGAGGGTGCCAAGGTCGTGCCGCATCGTGGGGACAATATGGCCTGGAGGGCTCGGTCATGGCACTGGCTGTCAGAGACGAACCGCATCCTGTCAGAGAGAGAGGAGATGAAAGACCGTGACTATATGTGAGGGTAACATGCATTAGGGGGTAGGTCACAGGAAATAGAGAGCCAAGGGTAGACGATACAGGGTGAGGAGTATACATCGCGCATCGGAGAACAAAAAGTAGAGAGCTAAGGGAGCATGAAGGACAGAAAGAACAGGCAGAACAGGGAGATCAGAGAGGAAGAGTAAAGAGAGCAGAGAGAGAGCAGAGCGAGTATACATATTGATTAGCGTGGCTAGATGCAGTAGTGGATATAAAGCAGAGGGGGGAAGTGGACAGAGTAGACATAGTAGAGATGTAGAGAAAGAGGGTGAGAGAGGCAGAGAGTGAGAGAGAGAGAAATATAGAGATGAGAGAAAAGAAACAACTGAAAGCGCGGATAGAGAGTGGGAGAGGGAGCCTCAAATGTGCACTTCAATGTATATGAAGGTATACATGCATAAAGCGGGGGAACTCTTACTTTAAACAAAGAAAACAGAGAAACACACACAAACACACGCACACGATCTTCACACACAATACGGACAGTTCCCCGTGGGGGGGGGTCAGGCATCAGCTGCGGCCAGATCGCCAGCAGGTCTATGTCCAAGACAGAATGCCTTCGGGCACCTGCCGCGTCCTCAGGCCGACAGGTCACGCACGAATGCTCCGACAGTGTTCGGGGAAGTGCTCCCAGACTGGAACCGATCCAGCGCGAAAGGGACATGGAAGGTGAGGCGTCACGGAGAGGGGGCCGCACCGAAGCCGGCGCTCACGCCAGAAGACGTCCAAAAGCTGGAGACGATCCAGAGCCCACGGAACAGGGACGGCGAGGGACGCGAGCACCACGGCCCAGTCGGTCACCTTCCCCATCTAAATGTACCTATCGATGAGAGGTACGAGAACCGACTGCTGGGAAAAACGTTCCCAAGCTGGAACTGATGCAAAAAGCCTTGAAAGCCTTTTGAAAAATATACGGGTCCCCTCAGGTGCTCTCACCGTCGTCTTTGCCCTCCGCGGCCTCGTCGGGTGGGGCGCCTGGGTCGCCCTTCTTCTCGCGGTAGGTGGCCCTGCGGGCCTGGGGCCATTGCTGGAAAGCCTGGGCAAATTCGGCAGGGATCCCGTATCTGATGAGCGCTACCGCAGGGGAGATCTTATCACGCCCCGCTTGGTCTGGGCGCTGCGGCGTGGCTGTCTTGGCAGCTGGGGCCGCCGCGAGAATATAAAAGAGTACGAAGAGCTGAGTTGGCAGAGAGAGCGGAGGGCACCGAGGGGATAGATTGAGCAGGGAGCAGAGAGGAAAGAGCAGGAAGCAGCAAGCAGATGATAGAGGGCAGCGAGCAGAAAACGTGTTAGGTGCATTTAGGTGTTATGTAGAGATCCACCATATATACCTATGTATATACGGCAGGTTCGTGTCGTACCGACCCCAGCGTTGGTTTTCGACACCGCAGGGATCGTTCAATCTTGAACGATCGGCCGCTGCCGCAACGTCCGATCGTTCAACATCGATCGATTCTGGGTCGCCGGCGGCGTTCAACCTTGAACGCCCGCGCTGGGGTCGCCGCTGGTCGACACGACGCGAACCTACCGTATATATATGTACACATGTATACTGCGCCATTTATATGATATGCATCACAGCCAGCGTGGACCCCAAGCAGCAAGTCGTTGCACCGTGGATGCGTGGGCACTGCGGTAAGCCGACGTGGTGCACGACCTGCGGCTCCAGCTATCGGGGGCGCCCACGGGGCGCCCACCCACCGGCGGGCACCGGGCGAAACCTCGGCACGCCCCCACCGCGGAGCGCCCGCGGGCACCAAGCCCGGACACGCGACGTCCTGATTTACCAGCCCCGAACGTATCCCTATCCCTAAGATAGGCGACGAGCCCAGGGGGGGAAATGAGAAGGAGAAGGCCTTCTCAGAAGGCCGCGGGACTTCTTAGAAGTCCGGGGGGCTTCTGAGACGTTTCCTTGGCCTATTTCGAATACAGACAGAACTTCTCAGAAGCCCTCTCAGAAGTCCAGAAACTTCTCAGAAGCCTCGGAAGTCCCGCCCCTTCTCATTTCCCCCCCGCGCCCGCCACCGATAAGATTGACCCGCCAAAAGGCGATGACAATTTTAGGGATTCGCCCTCAAAAAAAAAGGGAGTCCCTAAGATTGGCATCGTCATAAGGAGGTGCCCAGCATAGGGATAGGGATATGTTCCAGGCTGGTAACTGATTCTTTTAGGACGGCGCCCCTGGGAGTCTGGACCCGTTCCCCGGGGCAGGCTCCTCGTCCTGAGCCGTCTCTGTGGACGGTCCCCGAGGCCCGGCGAGGGCCCCCCGAGGCCCAGAGTTGCCAAGAGCCTCCCGTCCTGACTCTTTCACGACGCGGTCATGTCTGGGAGCGGAATACGGGAGACCCCCCCCGGCTCGCCCCTACCCCCCGGGCGCCGGTAGCCCACGTGGCCCCCACACGGCGGGCACCAGGGTTATGCTGCTCCCATCGTACTTAAGGACACATCCCAGAAATAATTTCGAGCACCCGGAAAAGTGTCGAGAAAGTGTCGAAACAGTGTCGAAACAGTGTCGGCCGAGTGTCTCCTGGGGCCCGACACGCGAAAACCCTCGCGTTTCGGTTCTCTTTTTTGGTGGCCTCGGTTCTCTTTTTTTGGTGCTCGAAATTCCTCTCCTCGTGATCAGGCTCCAGTAGGTTGGAACATAATAACACCAGCGAAACCTCGACCACACGGGAGGGGGAAGAGGAGGGGGAGGGAGGGAGGGGGAGGAGGGGGAGGAGGGAGGTGGAGGAGGGCGAGGAGGAGGGGGAGGAGGAATGAGGCCCGCGAAGCGCGAAGCGCGACTCGCTTCGCGCCCTCGTGGGAGCCCCTTGCACACGGCGGGCACCAGGCGAAACCTCGACACACACACACACACACACACACAGCGCGGGGCGCCTCGTCGAGGCGCGCCCGCGGGCGGGCACCCGGGCGGCGCCTCGGCCTTCCCGTGGGGCTCCCACGGGCGGGCCAACGGCTGGAAGCCTGGAGTGTGCACGCCCAGCTCCCTTGGAGCAGGCCAGGCAAGAACCCCTCCTCCTCCTCCTCCTCCTCCTCCTCCTCCTCCTCCTCCTCCTCCTCCTCCACCCCTCCCCCCCCCCTCCTCCTCCTCCTCCTCCTCCTCCTCCTCCTCTCCTCCTCCTCCTCCTCCTCCTCCTCATCCTCCCTCTCCTCCTCCTCCTCCTCCTTCCACCTCCTCCTCCTCCTGCTCCTCCTCGGGGTGCAAGCACCCCTAAGTGCAAGAAGCCAGGCACTTCCTAAGTGCAGGCACCCCTAAGCTCCCCTAAGCTCCCCTTGCAAGCACCACCAAGCTCCCCTTGCAGCACCCCTAAGTGGAAGCACCCCTAAGTGCAACTCCCTTGCAAGCACTCCCCTTGAGCAAGCCGGGCAAGAACCCCTAAGTGCAAGCATTGTTCGGGGATTATGAAGGAGGAAGCAGAGCAGGGAGTACAATGGCATGTGCAGAAAATGGCGGCGGTTGAAAGAACATATTGATACTGGTCAACGGTAAGAAGAGAATGCAGAAGGGGAGAAAGAGAGGGAGAGGGGGGAACAACATATAAAAAGAAAGATAGAGCGAGGGAGACAAAAGGGTAGAAATGAGAGGGCATGGCAAGAAGATACAGGGGGATATGTAGAGATGTATAAACAGAGAGAGAGGGCGAGAGAGAGAGGGGGAGAGAGAAAGAGAGAGACAGAGGGAGGCAGCGAGAGACAGAGATAGGGAAAGGGATAGGGAAGAGACAGCATAATACACGAAGGCAAAGACATAGAGAGATACATGTACATAGAAAGAGCGAGAGAGAGAGAGAGAATGGGGGAGAAATGAAAGAGGCTAAACAAATGTCGCCTCAGGGGAGCCCGTGTCCCTGTGCACCACGAACGGCGACGCCTCCCGCTCGGCCTCTGCTGCCGCTTGCACGGGTGGGCATCCATCCGTCTATGGTCATGTCTGGTTTGGCCTCTGGCTGTCGGCGTCTCTCGAGGCCCTGCGATGACCTCTGGAATCGTGCGACATCACCGTATAGGGGGCCCACAAAGGATGTACGCGCCCAACTATGTACATGAACACGGCCCCTCGATCCGCGAGACCGGCCGCATGATACGAACATTCGCGCATGGCGTACTCTCGAAACCAGCGTGGATCCATGTACGTGTACGTCCTTCCGCTCCTGACCGTAGACAGCCGCTTCTGGGCAGCGCGGCCGTGAGCTGCCTGGGCCTCTTCGGGGAGATGGCCAACTTTTGGCGGCGCGCAAAAAAGGGGTAGGGGGAGGGGGAAGGCTTCTTAGAAGCACCCTGCTTCTTAGAATGACTACCTACCAGACCACCCCAACCCAACCCGAAGATCCGAATTTCGGGTTGGGGGGGGTAAGGGTTCCACATGTGTTTTTTCGATGTTTCCCGACCGCCCCCCACTAGAAATCGAGCGTAAATTTGAGCCTTCGGGTTGGGTTGGGGTGGTTTGGTGGGTGGTGATAGAAGGCCTCGGCCTTACGTCTCTAGAGAAGGCCCGCGCCTTCTAAGAAGCAGGGGTGCTTCTAAGAAGCCGGCCCCCCTCCCCCTACCCCCCTCTGCGCGTTGCCGACACGTGCTGAGCGAGGCCGCGGTCCCCCACGGCCCCCACCCTCGCTCGCAGCTCGCCCCGCGGCCCGTCCGTGGCCGATGCCGCTCCCCCTCTCCCATCCTGGGACGCACATGGACATACTAGTACTATATGTCCTCCTTGGAGGCGCGCGTCCGACCCGAACATATAGTATACCCATCTTGTAGTATATCGTTTCCCGAGCGGTGTGGCCAGAAAGCGCCCGCCACGACGCATATACTATAAGATTTCTCGGTGCGCGCGTCGCCCCTGGGGGGGGCGACGCACACATAGTATAAGTATGTTGGGGTGATTGCACCGGCCTTGCGGACGTGCTGCAGCGGATTTCTGCGTGGATTTCCGTGTGGATGTCTGCCCGAAGCGGCGAGCGACAAACGGAGCGAACTTCGCGTGGGTTGGTTTTAGCCATTCCTGCCCCCCCCCCCAAAAAAAAAAAAACGCACGGCAATCACCCCGAAATCCGAAACGAAATTCTCCAGGACACTCCGGGCCCACCCTATCGTTTCCCGAACGAAATCCGCTCTGCGATGTTGGCGCCATGACCCTTCCCCTTCCCCTCTGCTGCTGACAGTCAGACCCGTTGCATCTAGCCTCTCCTCCCGGCCCTCTGCTTCTGCCATCCGATGACCACCGCCCCTCGCAATCATTCAACCTGGTGTTGGGAGAGAGCTATGGCATCGTCGGTCGTAGTGATAATCGTGAGCAGAATTCATTCGTCAGCAACAAGGAAGAATTTGGGACTGACCAGTCCACGGTCCCAATACGCGCGGTGACCGCGGTAAACTTGTCCGTGCGAGGGCTAATACTTCGACTGGTAAGCTTCGAAAGCAAAGCATCATGCACTGCGTGGGAGAAGCGGGCGCGTGCGAGGACCGCGGTGAAGCAGACCGAGGGTTCGAAGCCAGAAACATGCGGATCCCTGCTACGCACGAAAATCAAGGGCGCAGCGGCGGTCTGCGATGGAACACGTCGAGATCGTTGTACCTACGCTCATGATGATGATCATGATCCTGATCACCATGACCACCAACATAATCATCATCAGCAACATCAGCATCATCATAATCAACTTAATCGTCATCATGATCATCATCATGATCATCATCATCATCACCACAATCCTCATTATCAACATCCTGATTATCATCATCTGCATCATCATCAAGATCATCAAAATCATCATCATCATCAGCAGCGGCAGCAGCATCGTCAGCATCGTCGCCACAACTACCATCATTTCCACCACCACAACATCATCAGCATCATCACCTTCTGCATCGTTAAGATCATAACGAACATCATCCTCGTCATCATCAGCACCACAATCATAATTACCACCAACCTCACCAACACCTTCATCCTCATCACACCAACAACAACAGTATCCTCATTTACATCATCATCATCATCAACACAACCAAAACCACCATCATTCGCCACCTTCACCAGCATCACCAACACTATCAGCATCTCCAGCATCAGCACCACCACCACCACGACCACCACCACCACCACCATTATCATCATCATCCGCATCATCACCAACATCAGCATCTCCATCTGCATCTTCGTCTTCAACATCAGCTTCACCATCATCACCATCATTGTCATCATGACTTTCACCACCGCCATCATTATCTTGAGCAGCATCACCTTCAGCATCGTCATCACCATCGCCATTCCAATCTTCATCGTCATCATCATCATGATATGCGTCATCACCATGACCAAAACCATCATCATCAGCACCATCACCATCACCATCACCAACCCATCATCAACTGCATCGTCAACACCAAGACCATAACCACCATCATCATCATCATCGTCGTCATCACCATCACCACCATCATCTTCATCACCGTGGTCATCATCATCATCACCTTCCCCACCGTCATCATCATCATCACCATCAGCATCACCACCACCACCAAAATCGTCACCTTCAATATCATCGTCATTTGCACCATCATCGCCATCATCATCATCATGATCATCAGCATTCTCATTTTTTATGCCCACGATCATCATCAAAACACCCACCATCATCACCATCACCATCATCACCAGCATCGCCTTCACCATCATCATCATCATCATCATCATCATCTGCACCATCATCATCATCACCATCACACCACCACCACTATCAGCATCACCATTATCACCATCAGCATGATCATCAGCGTCATCATATTCCTCTCCTTGGTCACCATCATTATCACCACCACCATCACCCTCATCATCATCACCACCAGCGCCATCATCAGCATGACCACCACCAGCACCATTACCTTCACCATCACCATCAGCATCAGCATCCGCATCACCACCATAGTCATTATCATCAGATTCACCTCAAAAACACAACCATCATAACATTCATCATCGTCGTCGTCATCATCAGTATCATTATCACCACCATGGTCATCATACTCATCATCACCATGCTCATCGTCACCACCATCACCACCAACACCACCATCATCATTACCACCGTCACCTGCAGCATCACCATCATCACCACCATCATCACCAGAACAACAAGCAACACCACCATCACCATTAGATTAATCATCATGGCCACCACCATCTTCTTTAGCATCACGATCATCAGCATCACCACCACCACCACCATCATCATCATCATCAGAATCAGTATCACCACGGCCAACGCCATCATCATCATTATCATTTTCACCATCATCCGAACGACCGCCATCATCATCACCACCACCACCACCATCCTCATCATCACCAACGGCTTCATCATCTTCAGCACCAACTTCGTCATCTGAACCACCACCACCACCATCATCTTCTTCATCATCATTCGTTTTTCGCCTGTCATATCACAACAAGTGCAACATCATGCCAACTCTGAATGGAAGGAGTCTTAAAGCAACTACATGTCAACACAATTGCAATATAATCGGCATTATCTTGGTCTTGGGATGCCCCTTTGGTCTCGGACTGAGTATGCCCAACTATTCGGGCACCCCTGGTCCAGTTCGCCCTCAGCGTTTCGGCGTGTGGTTGGTCATCCTCTTCAAGACCTGCCACAACCAACCACACGGGGCAGGCCGACGCTGTCACGAACGACATCCCTGTTTCCTCTGGGACTCCTTCGTACACGCCAAAGTTGCCAGAATATGTCAAGCAAAGTTATTGGAAGCTGCTGTTTTGGCCTTCAAAGAAGAAGGGAGGGAACAATTGCCCCCTCTTTCGTGACACCGTCAGCACCTGGCGGATTGGCCGCAGGTGCCCCTTTTTTCCTTGAATGCCTGACCCCCCGCCCCCGTGACCAGAGCACTGGCTGGAGCACAGGACGGCGGAGCCGACTTCACAGCAGGCATGCCGGAATCTCTCTGACCGATGGGAAAAAAGGCTGCGCCGCCGAAGACGAGCTCCTGGAGAGCTTCGGCTGATAACCCCTATTCGCCTGTCATATCACAACAAGTGCAACAGCATGTCAACTCTGAATGGAAGGACTCTTACAGCAACTACATGTCAACAGAAGTGCAATAGAATCGGCATTGTTGTGGTCTTGGGATGCTCCTTTGGTTTCGGACTGAGTATGCCCAACTATTCGGGCACCCCTGGTCGAGTTCGCCCTCAGCGTTTCGGCGTGTGGTTGGCCACCCTCTTCAGGACCTGCCACAACCAACCACACGGGGCAGGCCGACGCTGTCACGAACGTCATCCCTGTTTCCTCTGGGACTCCTTCGTACATACCAAATTTGCCAGAAGATGTCAAGCAAAGTTATTGGAAGCTGCTGTGTTGGCCTTCAAAGAAGGGAGGGAACAACTTCATTACCTTCATCATCACCGCCACCATCACCATCATCATCTGCAACATCCCTCCCCAACCGTTATCCTCTGCATCATCACCAGCACCAGCATCATCATCGTCATCATCTTGATCATCATCATCTCCATCACCATCATAACCATCAACATCGTCGTCAGCAACACCAGCAACACCAGTATCATCATTATCTGCATCATCAGCAGCAGCAGTATCATCACCACACCATCATCGTCATTATCAGCATCATCATCGTCTTCATCATCCTAATCACCACCAGCATCACAAATCACCACCGTCATCATCACCCTCATCAGCATCATCATCATCATCGTCATCATCATCATCATGACCACCATCATCATCACCATCACCATCACCATCACCATCGCCATCATTACCTTCATAATGGATGCCAACATCTTCTCCAGCATCTCCATCATCTTCATCACCACTCCCATCACCATCATCATCATCATCGTGGTCAATCAACGTTTCTACCCTCGTCATCATCATCATCACCCACCATCATCATCATCACCCACCATCATCATCATCATCATCAGCATCATCATCATCATCATCATCATTGACATCAGCATAACCACCACCGCCATCATCAGCAGCTTCATCCTCATCATCATCGTCATCCTCAGTATCATTATCGTCATCACCACTACCATCATCATCATGGGCATCTTCATCACCACCACCACAACAGTCATCATCATTTTCACCCCACTTACCACCACCATCATCACCACCACCACCATCACCACCACCATTACCCTTCATCTGCATCATCACCGCAACCACATCATCATCATCATCATCATCATCATCATCATCATCATCATCATCATCATCACCATCATCATCATCATCATCATCATCATCATCATCATCATCACCATGTTTATCGGCATCACCACTACCACCGTAATCATCATCACCACCACCACCATAGTGTTCATGATGTGATCATCAAATTCTTCATGTGCATCATCATCACAGACACCACCACCATCGTCTTCACCATCATCGCCACCACCACCATCATCACCATCACCATCACCAGCATCATCAACTTCATCATCATGATCATCACCACCATCATCATTGTCTTCATCATCTCCATCATCACCACCACCAACGTCTCCATCATCTTCATCTTCTTCGCCACAACCACCATCATCATCGTCATCATCATCATGACCACCACCAGAATCGTCGTCATCACCACCATCATCCATATCCGCATCATCAGCAGCATCGTCTTCACCTTCATCACCATCATCACCACCACCACCATCATCACCTACATCACCGCCACCATCATCAACGACATCATCTTTACCACCACCCTCATCATCATCAGCAACATCACCACCACAACCACCATCAGAATCATCAACACCACCACCATCATGATTAGCAGCATGACCAACATCACCATGACTACCATCAATACCGTATTCATAATCGTCATCACCACCACCACCATTACCATCACCACCACCACCATCATCATCATTATTGTCATCATCGTCGTCATCATCATCTAATCATCATCATCATCATCATCATCATCATGATGATCATCATCATCATCATCATCATCATCATCATCATCATCATCATCATCATTATCCTCACCGTCATCATCTTCATCATCATAATCGTCATCATTTTCAGAATTATCATCGTCACCACCACCACCACCACCAACACTGCCACCACCACCGCCATCATCACCATCATCATCATCATCATCATCATCATCATCATCATCATCATGTTCATCATCATCATCATCATCATGATCCTTATCATCATCACCACCACCACCTCAATCATCATGATCATCATCATCATCATCATCATCATGTTCATCATCATCATCATCATCATCAGCATCACCACCACCATCATCATCATCATCATCAGCATCATCAGCAGCAGCAGCAGCACAACCATCAGCGGGTGCCCCGGCGAAGCGCCCGCGGCGGGCCTCCTCCGCGCCGCCCGGCGCGGGAGGCCGGCCCCGCTCCTGCGGGACCACCGCGCCCTTGCGGCGGCGGCCGCGGGCAGCGGCGCGGTAGACCTGGGCAGCCGCCGGCCGAGGGCGACGACGACGACGACGACGACGACGACGACGACGAAGCGACGACGACGACGACGACGACGACGAAGCCCTGGGCAGCCGCCGGCGGGGGCCCGCCAGCCAGAGGCCAGGGGCGAGCGCGCCCCGCTTCGCCACGCTGAGCATCGTTCGACCTATCCCTATCCCGACTGGCGACCCAAACCCCCTCGAGTCATGAAAAAATCACGACGGGAGGTTTTTCCATATTTGTGGCTTTTGGGGGCCCCTACCGGGCCTCGGGACCGTCAAAAAACCACTCAGGAGGAAAAACCGGTCCTGGGGAATGGGTCCAAACCTCTGGGGGTCGACGTCATGAAAAAATCATGACGTCGGGGGTCTGGGGAGGCTCCAGTAGGAGTTCGGCCACAAGGGCCTTCCACGAGACCCCCAACCCTGACACCCCAGGACGTCCACTGACTTTTGGGCGTGCGCCCTGGAGGCAAGCAGGGCGTTTCCTGGCATGGGTTTCCACTGTAGACCCCGCTGGCCGATTTACCCCCCTGGATGGGGATGTAGGCCGTTCCCCCTGGAGATTCAGGGGCCTTTTCCCAACTGGGCGCGCTGGCGGTGGCCCGCCGGCCGACGGCAGGGCGTGAGCCAGGGGGCCCAGGGAGACACACATAAATGGACACCATCTCCAGGATTCCCCCTATCGCCCATATGCATTAAGTGTCTGATTCCCCTCAACTTCGAAGATTCCCATATACTCTCATGGAAATCTGAATTAGTTGTGTTTGTGATTGCGCGAGCGAGCCACGCACCGCCCAACGCCCGCCCTCCCGAACCCCCAATTCAGATCCTCCTCTGCTCCGGCATCGATGTCCAATCTTATGCCTCTGATCTCGCCGAAGGGGTTACTGTGAAAATGCACGTGGACTTCTGCAAATGAAACCCTCAACACGACGAGTGACAGGTTCAATGAATTCCGCGTGGATGTCTCTAAACATATTTTCCCTACAACAATAAAAACAAACCAAAAAAAACAACAGCAACAAAACATTCACAACAAAATCCGGAACGAGGCTCCGAAACAGACATCCAAAGTGTGTCTTGCTTTTCCGATCGAAATCCGCTCTGCGAAGTTGGTGCCATGGGCAGTCTGCTCCACGCTGCCGAAGCCTTGTGAATGCTGCGGCGCGTGGGACCAAGAAGGCGGGGAACGAAATGCAAGTGAAACGGACCCCCCCACAGGGACACCATTTTCATCGTCGGTGCGGTTCGTGTCGCGCGCGTGGGTACGGCGACCCAGCGTGTGCGGGCGAAGCAACGGGGCGACTTCGGATACGAAACAAATATGTTATGAAAAAACAAATGCATAAATTTGTTTCGAACGATCCCCACCGAGGAGGTTCAGCGCAACTACGTGTGTGTTCTGAATATGCGCCCTTGGTGTGTAGTATTGTTATGTCGTTGCTCGTGTAAATGCATTGGGGTAACAGTACTGCATGCTACCGGTGCACGCCAGTACGATGTACACCAGTGGCGCATCTTGTTGCGGTGTGTCACTGGTGATTTGTGTTGGTCCAGTGGCAGCTGTTACTCGCGTGTGTTGGTGATGTCTGCTATTGAGTCACGCTTTCACGCGATTGATGCATGTGGTTGGTGCGTATGCCCTGCATGAATGTGATAAATAAATGCCCCTGGGTACGTTATCGGCACACTGTCCTGGAATACGATCCCACGACGGGCGAAGAGGGCTCCAGGAGGCTCTCCCGACGGCCCAAGAAGGCCCCGACACGCCCAGAGATCGACCCAAAACGCTCAAGATGGCCCCAAGACGGCCCAATAGGCACCCAAGACGGCCCGAGAGGACTCCAGGAGGCCTCCTTGGACAAACTGAAACGAGTCTTCCAAGCCGCCGGGTAAGTATCTGGATTGACGAGGGGTGGGACAAGATGTCGGCGGATGGGGAAACAGGTTTTTCTCTCGTCCACAGCCGCAGCTATATAGCAATCGGTTGCGTCGCCGATGCTGGCAAAGTTGGCGGCGCAACCTCGAGCCAAAACAATAGCGGAAGCACGCGAACATGTGTCCCCCCCGCCCGAAGGGACAGACCCCCAGAGTCGAAGGGAGGGGGACGAAGCCTGCACGCTGCTGTCCTTATGTTGGCTCGAAGAGGCCGCGAAGTGTCAGGTAACCGCCTAACACGGGCACCCTGATTGCAGTGAGGCGGATGGAGAAAAAAACAATGATGCGAAACACTGGGTCATGCCCCCATGAACCAGCAAGCTTAGCACCTAAGTGCAACAGAACTAAAGTAAGCCGAGCAAGCACAGCTTGTGCTGGGCCGGTCGGCAGGCAGCCCAGAGAGCCATGAGACATGCTGGTAGGGCTAAGCCCACTTCGGGCAGACAGATTGTTAGCCTCGCGCGTCCGCGAAGCTATACCCAAGCAGGGGTGTAAATCCACGACAGAGAGGCTGGCTGAAGGAGCGCGGTCACGCGCTCGCTCCCCGGCAGTCGTGAGCCCGCGACGAAAGACGGGCACGAGGAGCGCGGGGTCGTCACGGTCGCTCTAGGTCGTCTCGCGACGAAGACAGGCAGGCGCTCGCTCTAGGTCGTCACGGTTTCACGATGACTCCGACTGGGGCCCAAAAAGGGGGCCCCCCTCTCATGCAACTGGCGGCCGCGGCCGAGCAGTCACTCAGCCCACAGGGGGTCGAAGAAGGCGTTTGGACAGAAGCGGTTTCACGCATTGACGGTTGGAGTATTACACGGCGTGGCACACATGACTGAACAAGGTGCGTGTGACTCTGGTTTCCATCCGTAACTTGTGGAAGTAAATCACGATCGGTAGAGCCCTTGGCATTTCCATCCGCTGCTATATCCTGGGTGTGGCACCATTGCGCATTGTTTACGATGCCCAGTTCGGGGAACTCTCTAAGCCAACTGATGCGGCCCGGCAGTGTCTTTTCTGTAGGTGTTCCAAGGTCCTTGCTGGTGAGAGACTTGAACACGGACTCGGCGTCAATCCTGAAGGATATTTTGGTACAGAGACCACCTTGCTCACGAAGCTGTGTGAGCCCAGGAGGAGTCAATGGACCCTGGAAGAGCTCATGTAGTGCCACTAAGGTAGGATAGCACTCCGCTACGCTATGTGCTGCAGCAAGTGCTTCAGCAACATAACTAGATCGAACTTGGAGGCGATGAGACTTGCAGTAGCTGTCGATGCAACGGATGACCTCTTCCTTACTGCTCGTGATGACTCCACGACGCAGAAGATTGCGCCCTCGAAGTCCGTAGCCTTTCGTCTTGTCGCTCTCCTCTAAAGCCAGAATGGGGGCTGATCGGCGGAAGGGGAAAGTGCCTCAGTCCCGAGGCCACCGAAAAGAGGGCGGCGTGGAATGCCAGCACGTGGCCCCACCCCAAAAAAGAGAGAGAGACAGAACAAAAAAAAAAAACGAGACTATCAGCGGAGGAGCCACCACCCAGAAAGAAAGGGCGCGCCGACAAGCGAGATTAGGGAGCAGGAGCGTGGGCAAGCGGAACGAAAAAAAGCTAGCAGCCGCCGCGAGATGCGCTGGGTCGGGGAAGGTCGAAGGGCCAGGTGGGGACAGGGCGGAACGCTGGTGCGTCGCAGTGGACGTCGACAGGGCTGGAGCTGCAGGGCCGATCCTCGAACTGGCCCAGGAAGCACCAATTCGACTAGCAGCGCCATGCTCTTCGTCATGAGAACTTTCAGCCTGGCCTGGGCAAAGGCAATTCGATCACGAAAGGGCCCCCCGTGATAACTGTGTAGTTGTGCTGACCAGATCGGCGGGGGAACCACATAAGACAAAATGCAAACTTACTGTGGGTGCAGACCATCACTCTCTCCCACACACACAAACTCTCTCACACACACACACACACACACACTAACAGAAAAACATGCTGATCACCCCGCCGTCAATGTGCAGTGGTGTTTGGCAGGGACGGTGGTGATGTCGACAAATTGTCTGATGTGTGCTGTCACATGCCCTGGCGCACCTGGCGCACTCTACGCGCGCCGAGCTTGGCACAGGTGGCGCATCTGGCGCACCAGGCGTCCTTGTTGGTTCCCAGTGGCTGCTCATCCGATGGCGACCGCGACCCCTGCCTATGCTGCGTCTCGCGTGGTACTTGTTTCGCGGGAGGGCGGGCTGGAGTGAGCAAAATTTCAACGACCCCTTCGCTCCTTCTTGGAGATCTCTTGGGCCATTCTGGGCCCAGCTTGAGCTGTCCTGGGCTACTCTTGGGCCAGGTCGGGCGTCTGTGGGGCAATCGCGGGGCGATCGTGAATAAAGAGCCGCTCGGGCCGAACTGTGCGCTCTGAAAACCGAAGCAGGCTGCATGCCAAAATCACACTCAAACCTATAGAAACAAATGCTTCGGCGCATGGGGGGTCTCCTGGGTGCCTCTTGGGGTAGATGTTTGCCTCTTGAAGGTCGTCTTGAGAGCCTGCTGGGGACTCTCCTGGGCCTCCTTGACTGGTGTGGGGGCCACTTGACTCCCTTGGGGCCCTCTTGGAAGCATCTTGGGAACCTCTTGGGCCGTCTTGAGGCGACCGTGGGCTGTCTGGAGCTCTGACAGGGGGCGCTCTTGGGACCTCAGTCTCCCCCATTATCCTCTTACTTTTCCTCCTCCTCCTCCTCCTCCTCCTCCTCCTCCCGCCTCCTCCTCCTCCTCCTCCTCCTCCTCCTCCTCCTCCTCCTCCTCCTCCTCCTCCCTCCTCCTCCTCCTCCTCCTCCTCCCTCCTCCTCCTCCTCCCACTCCTCCTCCTTCTCCTCCTCCTCCTCCTCCCTCCTCCTCCTCCTCCTCCTCCTCCACCTCCCCTCCCTCCTCCTATCCTCCTCCTCCTCCTTCCTCCTCCTCCTCCTCCTCCTCACCTCTTCCTCCCCTCCTCCTCCTCCTCCTCCTCCTCCCCCCTCCTCCTCCTCCCCCTCTCCTCCTCCTCCTCCTCCCTCTCCTCCTCCTCCTCCTCCTCCTCCTCCTGCACTCCTC